CAAAAGAGCTACCACCCACACACAGGGTGTCAGCGTGTCTATGCCACAGCCACGTGGCCTCTCACAGCCATGGAGGGTCTGTTACCCTGTGTCACACCATCTCAGTCACCAATGGGCCCACCCTGTCGCAGAGACACAGGTGTTATTTACTGTGTCACATGACTGCCGAGCCACATAAATTTAAATGTCCAATCACATGCCATCACGCTCCTGAAAACCTGGTCACATAAAGCCACAAAGACCCCCGGTCACAGCGTTGCATATGATCACGCAGTCACACTTCACAAGCCTGCTATTTCACAAACAGCCTTGCACAACAGTTACCCAAACACTCCTCATCATATACCTGTGCATATACTCCTCGAACATGGCTCCACTGAGTCTTGAACATACGCAGCGTCACTCACACCGTGTTTCACAATTGCAGGGCCACATGGTAACATGGTGTCCCAAAGACGACAGCCACACAGGGTCAGTATCCCATGTGAGACACAACCTCAGCACAGTCACACACTGCCACGTGCCCAGAAACACAGAGACACACACATATATCATAACTTACTAGGTCATACACATGAAACAAGCATGTCCATGATGTCCCCGGCTCTTAGGGGCTCAGCCACACACACACACACACACACACACACACACACACACACAAAACACTTGCCTCCTGGTCTAATGGGTCATGTGGCCTGTGTTACAAAAACACAGCTAGACACACACAGAGACAGCCTACAGGGTCACACTGGCATAAAGGAGTCCCAGGGAATTTTAGGTCTCCCGGTCCTGGAGGGAAGGACTAGCCCAACCCCCAGGGTTCCCGCAGCTTCCCGGAGTCCCTGACACCACCCTGGCCACAGTCCAGCTAGATAGGCCCCAGGGGACTGAGGCCACAGTGCCCTCCCAGTCCTGAGAAAACGTGGTGCCCCAGGGCCCAGATTGAGCCCCCCAACCCCACCCTGTACCTTGCTTTGGGTGCAGTTTCCTCACTTCCTTTCCCACCTGGGCAGGCAGGGCCCTGGCTGGGAGGGGGGAGGCGCTCCTCTAGCTCAGCTGGGGTGCTCACCCTGCCCTGCTCAGCACATCCTGGCCTGGTCCTGCCCTGCCCTCCCCTCCCCCTGGGTGTGGGGTTGAGAAGGATGAATCACCTGGAGGGTGGCACACGCAGAGACACAGTTCGAGAAACACATAGCCAGAGAAAGTGAGAGACACAGACAGGAGCTGCTAACAGGGCCAGGGATCCAGAGAGTAAAGCCGGGCGCTCTGCCATGCAGAGACCCCGATCGGAGGTACACATGTAGGTGCTGGGGTCCCAGGCGCCCCTTGTCTGCCTCCTCTGGCCTGGAGGATCCGGCCCTGTCTCCACCTCAAAGCAGGCAGGCCTCCCTGGACAAGGCTCCCCCCCCCACTCTGCACAGGGCAGCGGGGCCCTGGCTGGGGGTCCTCTCCCTTTGCTTGTCCTGGGGATAGGGTGACCATACCACCCTCCAAGGCTCTGCTGTGGCCCAGCCTCTCCTTTTTCTCAGCCACTGTGCTGGCAGCCCTGCAGCATGGGAAGCTGAATGAAATTCAGCTGTTCTGGGGCATCTTGGCTTCCCAGGTGAAGAGGGGCAGGGATTGTCAGCCCAGGTCCTAATGAGGAGATGAAGGCAGAGAGAGGGGCAATGAGCCATAGTCTGTATGCTCAATGGTTAGAGCATCACTCCCCATACAGAAGTGTCGTAGGTTTGTGCCCGGCCCCTGTCAGGGTGCATGCGCGAGACGTAACCAATCGATGTGTCTCTCACATTGATGTTTCTTCCTCTTCCTCTCTCCCTCTCTTCTACTCTCTGTACAAATTAATGGAAAAAAATATCCTCCAGGGAGGGTTAACAGGAAAAATAAAAAAGGCCTGGCTGGTGTTCTCAGTGGTTAGAGCATCAGCCATGCACCAGAGTCTCAGGTTTGATTCCCAGACAAGGGAACTTACCTGGGTTGCAAGTTCTATTGATACCATCCATGGGTCTCTCTCACATTGGTGTTTCTCTCTCTCTCTCTCTCTCCCCGCCCTCCTTCCCTCCCTTCCAGTGGCTCCTTGGCCCCAGGTCTTGCCACTTACCTGCTCAAGAACCTTCTATGGCTCCCACGGGGAGAATAGCAACTTCTCAGCTAGGCCTCGGTGGCCCCTCATGACCTGCTGGACTCTCTGGCTTCCCTTGGGTTCATTTAATCCCCTAAATATTTCTGAGCTCTGCTCTGAGCCTGGTGGAGTTGGAACTGGAGGATAAAAAAATCCCATCCCTGCGCTATGGGAGCTCCAGCTGGAGGCCCTCCCCTTCCTAGATACCACAGCCCTGCCCACTGCTCCATCTCCTCCCCACCCAGCTACGTACAGCCTGCATTCCTTTTCTCTGGCTTGTTTTTGTACTTTTATCCTTTCTGTCTTAAATTTTATTTTATTTAAAAAAAATTGTTGTTGTGAATCCTCACCCGAGGATATTTTCCCATTGATTTTTAGAGAGTGGAAGGGGATGGGGGGAGACACAGAGAGAGAAACATCCATGTGAGAGAGTCACATGGATTGGTCGCTCTGATTCGGGCCAGGGATCAAGCCTGCAACCCAGGTACGTGCCGTTGACTAGAATCAAACCCAGGACCCTTCAGTCTGCAGGCCCATGCTCTATCCACGGAGCCAAACCGGCTAGCACTGGCCTGTTTTTTAAATAATCCACAACATTTTCTCCCACACATGTAAGCACATCCACATCTCCACACCTGACCAGGTCTTCCACCAGCACTGGCCCCTCCACCACTGGGCTCGCCGGAGTCCCCAGTGCCCCCTGAAGCAGAGATCAAAAAGGCCACCCTCACACTAAGTCACATCACTAAACCTCATCGCTCTCTGTGAAAATGCACCCAGCCACTCAGCAGTGTGCACTGTCCTCCAAGACCGAGTGAGAACCTCAGAGCTGTTCACATGTCCGTGTGTGGCAGGCTTGGCTTCC